ATATGAAGACTAAAAAAATGCACCCCAAAAAATTGTAAAAATTTAATAATAAAATAATCAAAATTTCAGCATCAGCCATTTTTAGCATTAGCTGCGACAATTATTGTTAGGCAATTTGTTATAGGGCAAATAACATGAACCCTAAAGGAACTACCTGTTCTTGTCTATGATGTACTAATTAGGCTAAATATAGTTTTTTAGATAAAAGTAAAGTTTTTTTGACAAATCTAAAAAATATTTTTAAGTAATAATTTTTTAAGTAATAATAATACTTTGCATGAATTAGTTGTCATTTCAAATTTGCATAAATAATAATAAGTTTAGTATTTATATTAATAAAAACAACAACCAAGTTGTTTATCCAATTAATTCAAAGATCATTGTTAAAAAAAAAAAAGCAATCTCATACTGAGATTACAATTATAATGCAAGATATAAATGCATATTCTTAGTTACCAAGGTTCAAATAATAATAAGTTTACTATCCACTAGTTTAAAAAGAGCAATCTCATAGTGAAACTATGATTATGCCACACAAGATAAAAGTTCATATTTCAGACTCATTGAACTAGTCTGAAAAGAGTGATTACAAAGTGTTAAAAATTCTAATTAGGCTATAATAAAAATAATTATTATTAATTATTTTTATTAGCTAATAAGGATTTTAAGGCTTTACAATTACTCTTTTACTTATATAGTTTTAGAGATTCATTGTTTAAAAAATAGAATTCATGAAATTGTGTAAGTCTAAATACTCTATATTGCAATTTAATTCAGTTTTGTACTATAGTCTACCTTTGTTAATATCAATTCTATTAATATCAATCTAAACTATATGATAAATTTTTATATATTAAAACTCTTTTATATATATTAATTTTAATATAATCTCTTGTTAATATTAATATCAATATGAATTTAAATGAGTTGATATAAATAAGAATAAACTGTATACAAAATAAAAAATTTAATAATAATAATAAACTTATTATATTAATTTATCAATTGCAAGAAATTATATAAAGTCACTTGCCTTCCCTTTCTTATCTATCATTTGGTTGTTTTAAATAAATATAATATTTTAAATTATAACTACACCTTAATTGATTACTGATTCCTCTATTAAGTTTTTTCTGAAGATATTCCTTTTTATACAAAGTACCTTTTAAATTCATGCAAAGTGCTTTCGAATTCATACAAGTAACTTTTAAATTTGTACAAATGACTTTCAAATTTATACAAAAGGACATTCAAATTTGTATATATAAAAACTAGAATATTTTATAATCTAGTAATCTAATTTTAATAATTTTGGTATCATTTTAATTATCTAATTGAGATGTTTTAAACAATACCAAAATAATTAAAATTGGATTACTATATTATAAGATATTCTGGTTTTTATATATCCAAATTTAATTATTTTTTTATACAAATTTAAAAGTTACTTTGTACAAATTTAAAAATTACTTTGCATGAATTTAAAAGTCACTATATGAATTTAAAAATCTCTTTGTACAAATTTGGTATTAATAGAGATATTCAAAATTCTCTTTAAAAAACTAGAAATATTGTAGAACCTAATTATTCAGAGAGTTCTAATTCTGAAAATTCTATTAAATATAGTTATTATAAACATTTTGCAAAAATTAATCACTCAAAAGAACAATGTCTAAGAATTAGACAAAAAGTTGTAACAGTTCATAAATATATTGATGAACTTAGTAATAAAATCTTCAAACTTTGTAAAATATACCAAAATAAATAGATAGAAGGTATATCAATTTTAAAAGTAAATCATTATTTTAAAGTAAAACATCTACTTATCTTTGGAGATTTTAGCAAGATAATTCAAATCAGCCTTTTTTTATTTGATAACTATAAAAACTAAAAGAAAATATATTGAGTTTTTGAATTACAATTTATCAAAATAGATTATTATAAACAACAACCTTTTTCTATAGTTTAAGATAATTCTTTTGTTAAATTAGTCTCTAACCTTAATTTTCATTATAAAATGTCCTGCTGTCAAATACTTTCTATTAATGTTAAAGATAATTTGATTTAGCAAGGATAAGAATAAAAGAAGTCTTAAAAATAAATAAAAGTAAATTAGCACTTACTTTTATTATTGGACTTTATGTAATCAATAGCCTTTTCTTTGAATTACTATTCATTAAATCAATGCTGAATGATCAACAAAAATGCTTCTTTTTGATTTTATTTCTTTATATAATGCTCATACTAGTAATTATATTGAAGAAAAAGTTCTTGAACTTAGAAATTAGATAAAAAATAATTAGTTTTATAAATAACAATATAGGAAATAATATGATATGCTTTTATTATCTCTAAAAGTCTATAGTTTCCAATTTTATATATAGTATATATACTATACAGCAGGGTTGTTATTGGACTGGTCCAATATGTAATTTAGCATTGGACTTGGACTGGACCAAATTCATTAGTCCATTTAGTCCAATTGGGTCCAGTCCAATATATAGTAATTTTTATCATATTATATCTTTCGCTATAGTAAATATGTATATAACATTTATTAAACTAAATATTGAAATAGCAAATATTTATGTATTAAAAATATTTGACAAAATTTAATAAAGCTTTGTTGTGCCGGGTTTAGAATTCTCTAAACTATACAATTTTTTTATTTAATCTACGTTATATTTCAGAACAATGTTAGCCTAATATTATTTAAAGACTAAATGAAAATTACTAGTCAGCATAGTAAATAATATAAAATGAACAAAATACATAAGCTTATTACTCATTTTCAGATTGATAAAAATAAAGCAGTGCTTCTAAGTCTTCTACAAACAATTTTGCTAACTTCCATTTAGCAGTCGGATCATGCACAGGATGAATAAAACTTTCAACAAATTCGTTGCATTCAGAATCAATATCTATATCAGAATAATGTTGAATAGTTAACTCAGATAAATTTTCATATTCTAATGATTCAATCCAGCCATCTATAGTTTCTTACCAATCATCTAATAAATCTTGTGTTTCTTTAGTATCTTCATGCAAGTTTTCATTTTCATTAGATGGAATTGCTATATTTGCTGAATATCTTTCTTTAATTGCCTTTGCTTCAGTTAATCGATGAGCATATGTAATAGAACCATGAATTTGACTAATTTTCAATACTTTATTTGGATCTAAACGGTTTCATGATTTTGAATGAATCCAACCCATAGTAGAGAATAATCTTTCACATGATGCTGAGTTAACACAAATGCCAAATATAATTTTTGCTATAGCACCTAGTTCACATGCTTTCATTGATGCAAATGACCAAAATTGAGAAATATTACCCATATTTAGAAATTGATTGATAGTATAATCATCAAATGGATATTTTTTTTGATGATAATTTTCAAGTTCAATTAATATTTTTACTGGTGCCCGTCTAAACCATGCTTGATAGTAATAAATAATCCATTTTCCAAAGTCAACATATGAAAGTCCTGAAATTGTTAAAACAAATTTTGAATTGCGATATTGAGGATTAAGGAGGGGAGTTTATTTCCATCATCAAAAAAGGAAGACATTTCTGTAGTTGGAGCTTGGTTGATAGAGGGTAAGTCGTTAGTTTGATGAGAAAGTTTAATTCTTTTGTGTATTTCTTGGAATACATCTTGTTGAATTGTGGGTGAAGCAGCTGATAAAGTTTTGAAGCGGGGGTCAAGGAATGTGGCAAGCTATCCGACCATTTCTGGATCATCCCATCGAGATATCATTGAGGAGCGAAGACCTTTGTACATTTCAATAACATCTGGATGTGTAAACTTATCTTCAATCTGATCCAAGTTTTTGAAAAGATGTCGTACAGTCGGATACATCATACTCAGTGTAGGGTATTGAT